CCCCTCCTATCTCTCTTTCTCTCTCCCGCTCGCGACGTCTCCATGCAGTACGCCGAGGACCGAGAGAAATGGCTGAGGTTTATTAACGATGCCCTCACAGGTCGAAAATTCCCCTCCCGCCGCCGGTGCGGACAATTGAAAGCCCGAAAACAGGAAGCGGCCTCTTTCCCGACCGGCCGACAAATCGTTTCGCGGGGCGCGCAGATCGCGCTTAGTCGCGGCTCAGCGCATCTCACGGCGTGGCTTAGCGCGCCGCTGATCCAAGCTAATTAAACGTCCCTTCTCACCGCGGCAGCACGCGCGCCGCCAACGCGAAACGGCCGATTCTCGCGCGCTGCCTGCGTGCGAAATTCTGTTTTTTTTTCTGCTGTCCTCGCTACCGCGCGAGTTGCACGCCGCGCCGCGCCGCCGGCCGGCGCGGCGTGCAACCCTTCATCCCGGGGGAGCTTTCCGCCGTTATATACCGCGATTCTTTGACCTTGGCACCGGCGAGAGCCGCGCGGAGTAGGCGGCACAGGCGAGAGACACAAGCCAGCCGCGCCGCGCCTGGCGGGTTAGGGGATCGGCTTGATTTGCCAGCAGAATGTGGCCGCTGGTGGGGATGTAGTAATTTGTCGGCTTGAGAAGGCGGCTGGCTCCAAGCTGATAACAGGGGGTGGTCCATTCTCCTCTGATTCGACCTCGCGTTACTCCACGTCCTACGTCCTACGATCTCTCTCCCTTCCGGCGACGATCTCCACTTGCGAGCTGTGCGAGTCAACACATAGCCGGCCTGCTCCTCCACGCGCGCGCGCGCGAGCTACGTAAGACATCCGGTTGCGCGACGGATCTGCCGGGAGGTGTGTGAGAGGGCCAAGACAATGAAGATACTGCGGAGGAGAGAGAGAGGGGGGGGGAGACGCTGAGAAAGGCTGGCTGGAAGAGTCGCGCGCGCGGCCGGATTTTCCATAATCGGCCGTATCTCACGACGCTCGCAAGCGACGATAAGGGAGGGAGCCGCTCCCTCCCGAGCGCCTTGTACAAGAGCTTTCTCGTCTCTGCACTTCGCCTTTATAGGAATTATTATTGTCTCACGGAAAGGCTGACTCCGCCGAATCCCTTCCCCGGAGTCCGCTCGCTAAAGCGACGGGATACGCGAATTGGATATCTTTTTTCATACCGAGTCTCCGATCCCCACTTTTTCGCCACTCCCTGCTCGCGTGTCGCGCGATTTTGAAGCGTTGTTTTGGAAACTCGCGTTTCCGCGGGGAAACCGCTCTCTTTGCGCCTGAGAATCAAATCAAAGCTTTAACGTGGCGGGGCCGCGTGATAATTAATTAGCACCGTTCGCGCTCGGCAGACGCAGAGGCACGGCGCGGAATGTTTTCGATCTCGTCGGCTACGTGACGGAAGTCATCTTAATGCAAGAAGAATGTACTTGGGTCGAGTTGAGATTCTTAGGCTGCGATTGGTCCTGGTAAACAAAGTTAGACGCCTAATCTCGTTTCCCCCGAGCTCCTACTGCTTCTCAAATTCATTCTGCCAGCTTGGGTGTGTGTGTGTGTGTGTGTGTGTGTGTGTGTGTGTGTGTGTGTGTGTGTGTGTGTGTGTGTGTGTGTGCGCGCGCACGCGCGCGTGTATGTGCGCGAACAACCGTGTACTCGGACGGTGTTTCCCAATCAGTTTAGCATTAGCGCGGAAAAGTTCTAATTACTCCGTGTGCGGGGAATAACCATTAGTTGCTCGCGTTTAAAAATTTTTTCACGCCCGCTTCGCTCGAGCGCGGATTCGTGCGCGCGCGCGCGCGCACGTACCGTACGAGAGGCGAAATAATTACGCGAAACCCGATTATATCGTCGAAGTTTGTTTGCTCGTTTGGACATTTAATGTATAACGTGCCTGCCTATGCACGTCGCTTGAAGATTTCTACGTCTCGTTCGTCGCGGGCACACTCGTCATATTTCGAGCGGATGATTTGTTTCCCGCCGGTTAACATTTCGCTACCTGTAACGACTAAAGTGGATGTACCCATCCTAGTTTCTCCGTGCGACAGACAGAGGCGGGAAAAATGTCCTTGTGACGCTGACCGTCACTTCCACGCGCGCGCACGTCATTTAAAGCCGAAGAAACTCGCCGATGCAACCGCGTGCAGCAAAATCCCGTAGCGCTGAATACAACTCGTCGAATGCCTCCGCTAATAAATATCCGTCAGATTGTTATCAGCGCCCGGCAAAAAGCACGCTGCGGATTATACAAACAATACCGTACGCATCGGCGAAAATAATATCAGCCTCGATAGAGCAGCATGGCGTATTATGAATCATTTGGCAAAGCCACTTACCGTTGCAAGTCGCAGTCGCATATACAAAAGGGAGAACCACGGTATTTACAGAGATATCAGATTAATTAGATAGAAACGCTACTCTCTCTCTCTCTCTCTCTCTCTCTCGCTTGCGCGCGTGCGCGCTCTCTCCCACGTCGACTACCGAGATTTCCCGCAAGACGCGACGGAGCCGCTCGAAGAAGGCGCACCGGCTGATTATCGTATCCCGGCCCAGAATCGCGTATAAGGGCTGGTATCTGTAATACGTCTGACGTATGCGCGCGAGTTAAATTAAAGTTTGCCGGCAGCGGCGAAACGCCGGCGCCTTGTTTCAAAGCCGTGCGTTAACCGAAAGCCCAAAGTAATCTCACGTACCGATCCCATCGCGGCTCGCGCAGCTTCTCGACGTTGCTCCGTTCGCGAACGCGCGCGCAACGGGAAACGCACGGGAAAACGTTATCCGCGTATCTTTTTTTTTTTTCCGTAGGAAAGAGCAATTTCGGTTCGCAATTAATTACCGCCGCCGCCGCCGCCGCCGCATGGCAGTCTCGACGGAGCGAGACGAGCCGCAGCGCGAGTCCGTTCCAAAGTCCGTGTTTCCGGTTAAACACGCCGATTGTATCTTATTTGATAAGCGGCGAGGAAATTCTTCCGCACGCGCAGCGTGTCCTGATTAATAGGTACCTCCGCCGCGCCGGCGAGTGTGGTCGCGTCTTAAACAACAACGTGCGCCATTCAAGTTTTATAGTGCGTACGTTCGCAGCAACGTTCGCCGTAACTTCGGAGTCGAGATAAGACGCTCCTTCTTCTCTCTTCTTCTTCTTCTTCTTCTTCTTCTTCTTCTTCTTCTTCTTCTTCTTCTTCGCCGAGAGTCGATGGGGGCACGCCGCTCATCAACGTGTAATAAAGCGGTTTGAGCGGCAGAGAGCTGACTGATGCATTAATCAGTTCTTCTTCTTCCACGTGTGTGTGTGTGTGTGTGTGTGCGCGCGCGCACTCGATTCTGTGTATCTGAAAACGAAACTTTAACGTTGCTTCGGAAGCACCTTTCGAGCGGTGAAGTTATATCCGTCCGAAAACGGACGGCATTTCTGCGTGAAATTTGTCGCGATGTGATCCTTTAGAACATCTTGTCGAGTGATAATTTGCCTCGCAGATGGGAACTCGGCGACACCCGGCCGTGTCGCGCCATTACCTAACTTCCAGTCGGAATTCATATTCGGAAAACATGAAAACCCGCGCTCTCCCCGCCGACTGATGCAATTATCTTCCCTTCTGGTGGCCGCGGGAAACACGTGTAATTTTCCAGCGAGTTCCTCGCCGTCATTGTCACACCGAGACTAACTTTACATCGCGACGACGGCCCGCTGTCAAGGTATCAGACGGCCTGATATCCGATGCTACTTAGACATTCGCTACTCACATATTCTCGGGATTCCCATACGACCAGGTCGCCGTGACCGACCCCACGTCGAGGCCAGCGTGTACATACGCACACACGCACGTACGCACATGTACGCGCGCATTTGCCGAAATGCGAAACGTCCCGCACAATGGCGCGCGTCCAACAAAGTTCTTAATGACGCGTCGAGCTACGAGCAATTTTTTGCACATCCATCTCGTGGCAAATTGCAACGGCGGTTTATTTACTCATAATTATGTCTTGTATACTAATGTCGTCTATATTGCGAGAGATAATAGTTGGCAGATAATAGTTGCTTAATTACTCTTGATGGGGGAGTAAATACTTTATCCATCACAGCCGAGCAATCTTGAAGCTTAGCAGCGCGGAAGGTAAAAAGATAACGCTAATGCCGAGCGAACGCGGCAAGATATTACGCTGAGAAGTACAATAAAAACACAAAGCTCTTTGTTAGCGATTGTTTCTATATTGCGAAACACTCGCACGCGGCTCCACACAAATGCACACATACACACACACACACACACACACACACACACACACACACACAGAGGCCGCGTTGCGCGCGAAGCGGAAGAGTTTAAGTACGCCATTAATGAACGGGGGGGGGGTTGTACGCGCACGCATTCTCCTGACTGTCAACCGCCTCCTCGTGCGGGCGCACGAAGAGCTTTTTAGCGAACTGTCAAACTTCGCCGAACCGCGAATTACTCATTCCACCGCCACGTCCCTCTCCAATGCGCGCTCGCGAGGGGGTGCGCGGCGCGGATCAAAGACCCCGGGATTCCGCGAGCGACAACTCTCGAAACATCGATTCTGGGCCGCGACGTGACGCACCGCGAGATCGCTCGACAGACCCTGTCCCCGAGCGACCCCGACGAATTCAACGAGACCCGGCAGTGCTGAATAATTCGCGTTAGCGGTGACCCGCCCCGAAAATACACACAGTGCGGCCCACATAACTCTTTGCGGCTCAATATCTCGGAAACTATTTCATCGATTTTAAAGGTCCGCGGCTCGAATTGCACGGGACTGAAGAGCCGTTAAACTGGAGCGAAGATTAGTTTGCCCGGTCGCGTGAGTGGAACGGAGGTTAACTATAACATTCTTTTTTTTCTCTTTTTTTTTTTTTTTTTTTTTGGAAATGGAGGGAGGAACCCCTGTACAAAATTATATTCCTGAATTCTGTGGAAGCAAACAATTTTTCTAGTTTTATCCGAAACATTTTCTCGCCGAATGTTTCTGTCAAAAAGTGCGACGGTGTGAAGTTTCGACCAGCTGCACGAAGCGAATAATCGCACGAAATCAAAATCACAACACTCTGTATTCCGACACTTATCCAATTTATTAAATATTGAAAATATCCTCCATGAACTTGTAAACATTTGTTTATCCGAGTTGACACAAATTATTCCCAACATTTCGGGGAGTCGCCGGAGCGCAAGCGTCGCGTGTACCTCTTGCTTCATATTCTCTTTCGCCGTCGGCGGTTCAAACATAACTTTCTCCTTCAGAAGAAACATAAATAAACACTGCGTCGTACTGCCGCTGTCGATCTTGCCGGGGATGCTCCATCCGCATTCTCCATTCTACAAATATAGAGCGATAAGATTACAAAGGTTAACTCATGTTTTTTCTATGATCGTCGTATCTACGCGCGAGCACGCGCGGATGATCGATGAATGATCGGCGAGTGACGATTGATGACTGACGCGTATACGAGTGATATATATACAGTTTCAGTGATATCACCCATGTTCCGCCTCCGAATGAAAATGGTGAAATTATAATTCAGCGTTTGGATGATGGATTGCTTTCGAAATGGAGATTCCGTCACACTTAAATCTACTCTTGCTGGAGATAATTTATTTCTATATTTTAGAGAGAGAGAGAGAGAGAGAGATGCACGTCTTAAAACAAAAATTTCCTCTCCTCTCCAACTATTTTTCTCGAGTCGAAAATGCATTAAAGGATTCTTTTTCACGAGAAATGTACAATTTTGTAATTGTTTTCAGATATTTTTCGACGACGTGCTTCCTCGAGTCGGACGTTTGGTTTAGAGCAATAAATAACGACCCGAGTAATTGTTCGGCGCACGACAAATAATTACTCTCGTCCAATTGTCTTCGTTGAATGCGCGAGGGTGCATTGAGCCGTCCGACCGGAACTGGTGACAGCTGAGACAACGGAAGTAAGATGGCGACTACACCGGTGTCTTGTCCCGTCGTTGGGTCAATGTACAGCGCAGCGTGAACGCCGGTAAACTCCTCCCGCATAGTTATATACGTAATTACATACGTAACTTATTGTTGGTACGTCTATTTATTGCAAAATACACACATGTGTGCGCGCGCGAGTGCACGCCCGTTAGAAGTTTCCGAGCTTCCTCAGTCACCGCAAGCGAGTGCAATTTGTGCCGGGGCTTATTGGCCGGTAGTTATTACTAAAGTTGCGTAACTTCACAATGGCCGCCGCGAAAAAATGTCCCGCCCTTTCACGACTAAAATAATGACTTCGAGATGCTCTCCGCCTCCCCGCCCCGCCCCGCCCCCCCCCCCGTTTATTAAATTATAAAACGCGGTCGCTTTATGTTTCTACCTCGTAAATTTTTATTTTCTAAACTATAAACTTGCATTCTATACAAGATAATACGTAAAGATCGCGTGCGTAGCTGTGGTTCGAAAGGCAAATTTGTCATTCGCTCCCCTCTGCCCAAACTTTCTCCATAAAAGGAAACTGAAACTTTTGATGAAAGTGAAATCAAATGTAACCCTCGTTATACTCGCGTATGTGTGCATCCTGCATTTATATATCCATAAATAGCAAAATTTGTACGATGAAGACATCTCTCGACACGTCCGCGAGATTCCGAGTGGGGTTCGACAAACGCGAACGCTTTTCCAGATAAATGTTTAACAACTCGATCTTATCCACAATGGATAAAATGTACTCGACTCTGAGAGTTTGCGAACGCGGGTTTATTTCGGCTTTCTGAACCGAGGAAGGATATGCGAGCGCGCGGTGAGCATCAGTCGATGGTGCAGAGCGCGACGATGTATACGCGATCAATACTGGTTCTAAGGGTGCACCACCATCTCTTCCTAGTGTCTGAAAGCTCGTCTTGCAACTGATATTCGATGCCAATTAGCGCCTGATTTGTTTGATCGATAGAAGAAAACCAGATACCTTCAGTGCTCCACGTCAACGATAATTATCAGACGCCGCGAGCATCGCAATTGTGACTCGATTGAGGAAAAATTACACGGGTGCTAATAATACCAATTCGCGCACTACGAAGCTGGGTGAAGAACACTCCGAAATTGTTGGAAATGTCTCGTCAGTCAAGACCGAAGCAGCCAAGACTCCGCCAGACGTCCTACCAGACGTGGAAACCGCGTCGTGTTGAAAAGACAAGGTACGTTTTGATACAAATAACACAAAAGTGCAGGACTCGTGTAGTTTACGCGGATAAATTTCTCTCATGTCGCTTATGAAACGCTTGTAAGAGAGTGAAGCTCGTTCGATCGATTCGTCGCGTCTCGCAATGATTTGGTAAACAAATAACTAGTAAATCCCGCAGATGCACGCGCCAAGTGTTCTGCAAAATTACCATCAAGTGAGCCGAGAAGTGATCGCGCGCAATCTTATTATCACAAATGACATGCAATCTCGTTTACAGATGGGACTATCCAGTTCCTGCGTCGAGGACATACTGGGAGAAGTTCTGCGACGACGCGGAAAAGAAGTTGCTCAGAGTAAGAGATTCCTTTCCGATATTATCCCACCTTGCCGTTGCTCCAAATTTTCGCTACTCCGAGAGGGTTCTTCGCGATATCGTAGATTCCGACGACGTCTCTTCCGCTGGAGGCTTCGATGAGAACGTACCTCTCGTAGATTCGGGACTCTCATCCCCTAAAGCGCCAGACGTTTCTTTAGGAAATGATAACGGAATTGTTTGCCTTAGTACGGAGCCGATAGTTAAAATTTGTCCCCCCACGCCGTTAAAAAGGTCACCGAGGAGCGACACTGTCGCGGTCGACGGACCGGCTGCGGAGGAACAACGCGCGAGTGTCGTCGCCGAAAGAAAAAGCACGACGAAAAAAGGAGCGAGTTCGTATGACGAATCGCGGTCCCCTGATGCTCCTTCCAAAAATTCTATCATGCCACATGACGGATCGGGGGATGGAAAGGTGTATTCAAAGGAGACGTGCCCTTTTCACCGACACGAAGCCGCGGTGAAAATTTTCGACGACGATATCGAGAAGTATTTGATAGACGATCCGAGAGCGAGCGTGCCACCGAATCAAAAGTCGAGCGAATTGCCGTTATCGCGGGAGACTTCTAAGTATCGCAAAACCGAGCGAAAAATAACTTCCTCTGAGAAGGCTAAAACGGTCACTTTCCTACAAAAGAGATTGGATTCTCAGTCGGATGATGTCATGGATTTAACTGCCGGCGAAAACGCAAGCGGCGATTCTAAAAGTAAACGACGCGAAATCGGGCTGAAAACATTTAATTTACGGTCCGATACGCTACTATCGGATTTCAAATTTCCGACAAAGAGAAGGATCGCGAATGACTCGAAGATTACGACGGTGTCGTTGCCGAAATTGTCTCAGCCTCGGAGGGAAACCGAGACGTTTGAAGAATTAATGATGCCTCCGGGAACACGGAAACATGCAGAAGGAGGTCTGAAAGTTCAACACAAGCTTACCGACCAAGCGGTATGACGAAAGGTGTCTGACGAAGCGCGACATCCGCGTGTGCAATTGAGGCGGACAATCGATACCGAAACGCGAGAATTCTTAAATTATTCGCAACGATACGCGTACAAAGCTTTGAGGCACTTGACGCTTAATAAAGATTTGAATTTCAAGTCCGAAATGTGGGAGGAGACGCCGGAGAAATCGCGCGTAGCTTCCACCGACGGATCGATAGTAGATACAGACGGCGCGAAGTCAGACGCGAGCGAAAGTCCCGCCGAATCCCACTCGCGCAGCCCGGAATTCCCTTCGTCCCGCGACGTGCGAGAAAAATTGCGACCAATGTGGGGGGGTGGCAGTATTGAGGAGAAAGCTTTCAAGTACAAGCTCCTGGGCTCGGCTTCCGGCAATTCGTCGATGATACCCGCGAAATCGCTGGCCAAGTCCGCGCTCAGCACGAAATTCGCCAGATACGAGAGCCGGAAGAGCCGCCAGTCGGCGCGCGTCTTGGACGCTCTGCCGAAAGTGTCGTGCTTTCGGCGCCGGAACCGTGACAGATGCTTATCCTGCATGCACAAGTCCCCGCGAAGGTCGAACGAAGCCGAGGATGCCCGCTCGCGAGCGGCGGCGTTGTTGACGGAAATTGAAACGAAAGACGACAGCGAGTCGTCCAGTTCCGGCGGACTTTCGGGATTTCAAGAGGAACTGCGGGCGATATTGCAGTCCCGGCGGAAGGACATTCCGAGATACCCCGAGAAAGTGGAGGATGTATCGGACAAAACGACACTCCCGTCTCGTCAAGTGGAACCAGAAGGAACCGCGATCTCGACGAAGGTCGATGCGAGTCAATTGAAAGGTAAAACGCCGCAAGCCGCCGCTGAGGACTCGTTAACCAAAGTCCCGAAGAGCATGAAAGCTATCCCCAGTTTGATCTCGATATCGTCGGAACGATCGAAGATCTCGTCGTCGGAGACCCACACCTCCGACGAGGAACCGTCGTCCCCGCTCGCGCTGGCCGACGACCCGTCGCGGTACAAGAACATGGCGCCCTGTCACTTGCCCACGGTCCTGTCGCACAGCATGGAGCCGTTGCGGGCCTTGAGGCACAGGAAGCCGACCACCATGGAGTCGCGGATCGCCCTCATGGAGAGCGCGACGTCGGCGAAGGAGAAGTCCGACGACGAGTATTACGAGGACGCGAAGGTCGAGAGCGCGGCCATGCCGCGAGCGAAGTCGCAAGCTCGGCCGAGAATGGCCGTCGAAGGGCCCGAAAAAATCCTCGCCGGCGAGGAGGCCGCGCCCTTGAGAGGGGACTCGAGAGCTCTGCTGAGAGTTAAGTCGGAGGAACAGCTGAGCCCGCCAATTGTAGAATCTGCGCGAAAAGACGAGCTGAAGCGAGGATACAGTTGCGCGAGCATCGAGGTTTTACGGAAGGATTCTACGAGAGGTACGTTTGAGATTCTTCGTGGTGAAGCGGCAGGTCGGCGAAGGGAGGCGATCTCTCTGGAGAAGGTAGACTCCGCGAAAGAGTCGGCGGCTCCTTCCGGCTCGCCAGCGGAGCAGGAGGAGGAGAGACGCGCGGCACTGCCGTTGTCGACGATCGCCGAAATTTCGCGATTTCTGCAGGAAGCAATTCGAGGGGGCGAATCGCCGGCAAGCGCGCTGGAAACGCTCGCGAACGAGTTCTCCTCGCGGCTGATAAAGCAACACGACGCCGGCACGACGACGACGACGGCGGCGGCAATAAGGCGCGCTAAATTAGCCGCGAGATTAACGAAGTTGCTGGCGGACTCGAAGCGTTATTCGAGCCCCGATAAGTTCCCGTCTGACCTCGTTTTCTCCGCGAAACAGCCGCCCATTTGCAATTCCCGTCTGCTAAGACGCGCTCTGCCGGCCGATTCCTACAATCTTGTCGCACCGTTATTGGGCATGCCGATCTTGTGCCCCGCGAAAGTCCCGCGAAAGGAGAAGGGCTTACGTATGGTGTCCTACAAGGAGGAGGAGGAGGAGGAGGAGCAGGAGGAAGAGGAGGAACGGGCGGACGGCAAAATTCCCTTCGACTTGGTGGTGCGTACGTTACAACAATCAAATATCTTTAAATATCTTTCCTTGCCCTATCTTCAATGGCTGCGTCTTCAGCAGCAGTAAAGTGATCAGTGAGCGCTTAGTGATTATTGTCTGTGACTGGAGCATTCTTTTAGATTCTTCATAGATCCAGAAGTATTTACCAATCAGGAGCGAGAATTACTAAGCGCTCACTGATCATTTTGTTCTTCTGAACACAGCGAATGCAGCTCAATCATTCAAACGAGCGAGGTACGCTTAGTCGAGAAAAATTCCGCGGGTATAAATATTCGACCCTACTTACTCAACTTACTTCCCTCCAATAACTTTGACTTTGATACGTATTATCAAGGCCATGGTCCTGAGTAACCACCAACAGGTTTCAATCTCGTCGCTCGTTGTTTATTAAAAAGCTGTTAACGAAAAAAGTTTCATAAATAGACCATCGTTTTCCGACCACCGTGTCTACATTTGAGAAGTAAATATATGATAAGTATATAAAAACAGCACACACACATCGGTTTTTCATAAACTCCTCCACTATCTATTTTTTTAATGTGTACACTAGGAAAAAAAATTTAATATCTCTAACAAAACTGTGTAGTTGAGGCATTTTTTAATAGCAACTAAATATCTTGTTTTATATAACAAAATATTTAGTTGTCTCAACTAAATATATTTTTCCGCTTTGTTCTCTGGACCAAATGATTTTGTTCTTAGACTTCATATATAAAAATTAAGCATTTTAGTTATTTTATCCATAAAAATTACATAATAACGAAATATTATTTTACATAAACTAAAATAATGCCCAATGGATACTATTTTGTCTTTCTGTGCACTAAAATTTAGATTTTATATAAGAAAGAAAAGGAAGAAAAGATTTTATTAAGGAAAATTATAGTATTTTTAACAAAATTCATATAATTTTTGCTTTTTGGTTCTTATGACAAAAGTATTACGTTATACGAACAAACCGTAATCAAACAAGACATTTGTTTACAGGAACTAAACAGTTTTGTTGGGTATATTTTAACCAAATTATTTTGTTGTTATAACAAAATTTTGATTCACGCAACAATACATTTTTCCTAGTGTACAATGCCGCACAACTGCATCATATTTATGAAACTTTTTCATTTATAACTTTTCAATAAACGATCAGCAACGGCTAAAACCTTCCGAAGGTTATTCAACAACATGACCCCGATAACATATGTCAAGATCAAGATCATTGGAGAGAAAGAGAGAGAGAGAGAGAGAGAGAGAGAGAGAGAGAGAGAGAGAGAGAGAGAGAGAGAGAGAGAGAGAGAGGGAGAATTAACAGTCCCAAACTGAATAATTAACCAAACTTCTCTTGTCAATAATTTTGCAACGAACGACGAGCAACGATTAAAATTTGTTGGAAATTATTCGGGACTGTGATCCTGATGACACGTATGTCAAGTCATTAGAAGGGGATAAATAAGGATGAATAGTTATTATTTTACTAGTTAATTTGCGATTAAATGATACTCCCGCTTATTATATCGCGCATCCTTGCCGCGTCAAATAAATCCTTAAAGCCCAAGTAGAAAAGACAATATCGTACTTGAAATTCTCTCTCTCTCTCTCTCTCTCTCTCTCTCTCTCTCGGCCACGGGCGACACTCCCGCCCGCACCGGCTGGATCGACTTATTAGTCAAAAGTAAGCGCTTTCACACGCCCGCAGGTACATCCCCCGACGAGCAAAGACATCTCCCGCGGCAAAGCTGAAGCAGATCAGATCAGGTCGAATCCCTATGCTCTCTTTTTGAGGAAGCCGCGGCGCAAGGTACGACGACGAAATAATATTCCGTCACCCCGTAGCCGCACTTGCGAAATCCTCGCGCGGCTGCGAGGTGACGGCTGCGAGTTTTGTCGCGCGTCTTAATGCCAAATACACACCGCGATCAGGTTGTCACTTGGCGGCCTTTAACGGCGGAAGACCTCAAAGGCTACGATCCCGAGGCTACCCTCGAAATGAGAGCCAGAAATATTACGGACAGGATATGCCGTGACTTCTGCGAGTGGCTGCGCGATTTAGGCGGCACCGACAAACTCATCGACGAGGACGTCCTCCGAGATATGTTCGAGATTGAATTTACGGCCGAGGCCAGTAGAACGATGCAGGTGGGTAGGCAGCTGGCTAGATATACGCCAGGCCAGGCAGGTGGGGAAACAAAGTAGTACACAGGACGCGCGCGCGCGGTGTAACCTCTCCACGTAATGCATTTTCGCGTGCGAGACGGTTCCACAACGGCGTAACATCATAATGCGATGCACGATGATATACGCACTTTGATACGCGGACGCGAAATTCGAATTATAACTTCGGCGCGATATCAAAAGCCCGGCCTGATTGCGCCGGCGTCTCCTCGCGAATAAGTCACAGGCGCCGCGCTGAATCCGCCGCGAGGGACGCGCGAGCGATTTTTCGTCGGGCCGGAAAAATATCGAGACTCGATTCGCCGTGTCTGCCGCGATTAAGTTGCCGACGGGGGGGAGGTCCTCGTTTCTTTCAGCCCCGCTTTTTCCCTTCTTTCTCTCGCATTTCTTCGTCGGGTTTCGCAGATGCCGCTAATTCGGGGCCGCAAAGCGGGATCGATCGCGAGTCGCCGCGTTGCGCCCCCGTGAAATGAGGAGGAAATAAAACGTTTGACGTTCGATTATGTTAAATGCGCGCTGCTCGGGACAGATGTCGATGAAGGAAATGCCGATGGTGCCCGGCGCGGTAGCCGCAGCGAGACAATGTCACGACGCTGCCGAGCTCGCCATGACCAGGAAGCACCTGATTAGAGACGCTGAAGCGGAGACTAAGCCGGCCAAAACAATGGCGTTCGGCACCATGATACCCTGGCAACGTCAATTTGTACCGCCCGGAAATCGCGTGGAAGAGCTGTGGCTGCGCTGCGAAAATGTCATGCTGGACCTCGAGACGATGGATGTGGTTTGGGACGGCATAACGCACCTAGAGAGCGTCGGGTCTTTCGTCAAGTGGCTTCACGAGCATTCGAAGGTGAGGTCGCGCGCACAGTTTTCTCACCGTCACGAGAATTAGAATCTCGAGACGCGAGACGGATCATCGATTCTCAGACATCGATCACCTCGGCGTGTCTGCTAAGGAGAACGAGTCTGCTTAAGAAATTACTATCGCTATTCTCGAAAGTGACACAGCCTCAGGAAGGGAACCAGCGCGGTTTTCCCGAGAGTGAGTGAATCGCGAAAAACAGGAGAATATTCAGAAAGTCGTAAAACTCGTAAAAGGAGGGAGGGAGGGGCTTGATAAAGCCCCGATCGGGCCGAGTAACGAGTGGCGAGCGCGCGAAATGTTTCATCCGCCGCTGCTTCAGATCTCCGCTGTCTCATCCGCGTATTTCAGGTCTCGCTGCTGGACGCGCTGATGAGCGCAAAGGACGCGGATGCTTGGAAACGGCCGGTCGAGGAGCAGTCCTTCGTGCATGTGGGACAGCACGTCGGATAAATGAAGTACTTTGGAAGCCAATCGCGCCCAAGTTCGCGGCGACCCCTCGGTCGTTCGACGCACAATCAACGCGGGAAAGAAATTGCCCATCGACACTCGGAAAGCCGCTATTCTACACCGGAGCGCGCGTCTACACGTCTACGCGCCAAATACGTCCGTGTAACCGATACGACCGCACGATGACACGACGCAGGACGCCCATTTCCTGTATGCGGCGAATGGTTAACCTCCGTAGCCGCCGTGGATGCTTCAATTGCGAACAATTCCCGGCGAAATTTCGACAAACGTTCAATTACGCCGCCTAATTCTCGGCTAATGACCGTCGCGTTTAGCGCCCCGTAGCGCCGACGTAACGCAGATAGAAATCAAGTTCCCCCATCGGGTTTCGCACCTCGCGAATCAAAATGTACCGATTATTAAAAGGCGCGAACGGCCCATCATTCCTGATTCGAGGGGTGTGTAGATTCGATTAGTAGTCCGATTACACGGTCTGAATTAATCCATTCGCAACGCGCGCGCGCCATGCACCTACCGGCGCACCGTATTACGCTGCATTAATTATCGATCACTCAAGTCTCATTGCATTGAACTCCATTAAGCGAGCGCGATTAATGTTAATAATAGTAACATTAATTATGATAATAGTCTATGATTGTTGTTGCGTCGATGATAACATTCTGTTATCAGTGTGCGTGGATAACGGATAAACCGTTAGATATAAGTGCTCTATCGCGCTGTCGACGGGAGCCGAGTCGAAATTTGGCTTCTTCATTAACCCTGCAAATTCCGTCGAACTTGAACAACCAATGGAGAATCTCGAGATATAACACTTTACAGGCTATTGACCCAGCTTGATGAAGCAGGATGGCCGCTTACTGTTGTTTTCTCCACGCTGAGACTTGAAGAGGGAGAAACTTGTGCCGAAATGATTATGTATTATTCGATTACCTTAATAATACCTCCTACCTTCATTCGATCCTCTCCCCGCCCCATCTACCTCTATTTTTAATGTCAATAAGAAATTTAGTTATTTGTTAATTATATAACCTATTTAAACACGTCCGCGAATTATTACAATTATTACAATTATTACTTATTTATCGAGGTTTATCTAAACTTTCGACCTTTCGAACCTTTCCTACCTTGGTTTTTCACATTTTCGAAATTTTGCGAACTTCCGACCGACGGAGTGAATGGCACTGCAAGCGCAAATAATAATAACGCTGGATCGTACGAAAAGATTCAAATGGAAGGCGGAGAACAAAAAGCTGCTAGTACCTACAGCTGAACCATAGAGCCAACGATCTCGCATCGACGAGTTGTCTAGCGAAATAACGCAAACGAGCCGATGAAATATTGGAAACGTATCACAGATGCCGGATGTCCTGACAGTGTCTGCTTACGACAGAAAATGCGCCTTAGACCCGCGGCAGCGGGAAGAAAAAAGCGAAGCCCGCGCCTCGTTTGCGACGTATCTTGCCGCTGTTGCTGCTGCCGCCATAATTCCCTTCTCGCGTTTCTCTCGCCCGCCGAACGCCGCGTGGCTCGCATTAAATCGCGTCAACGGGCGAAGGCTCGTAATAGCAGCGAGCCGCGGTAACAACGCCGGCTAGAATCGCTACCGGTTTCGTTTCGGCCGTTTCGGTCGAAGCGATAGCCGGCGAGAGGGGAAGAAAGGATCGCGGATTCGGCGAGAAACGGTACACGGCACAAGTTCGCCGCGTGCGTATCCGGCTGCGAATCCGGCTCCTCTCTGTTTGCCTTTAATATTTGTCGAACCTTTTTTCTGCATGCGTTTTCCAGCGCACAAAAGCATGAAGCATTATTCGCGCGCCGGCATTTCACACGCGAGCGTTCGCGCGCGACTCACTGAATATTTGCCCGCTCCGTGGTCCTTAGGAACGGCGGAACAATACGCGATTAGCTCGTTTTCGCACACGTGAAGACGCTCCGGCGCTCCCTTCGCCAAATGAAATTCCAAAGCGCGTCTTCCAACCTTGATGCTGACGCGACTCCCATTGGCAGAGGTCAAGGAATTAAATACACGACATGTATCTTTCTCTCAACGCTTGCCTCTACATTTCATTTAACCCTTTAAGAGGACTGGAGAGTCAGATTGCTGAAAAATCGTGCTTGTTTTTAATATAATATTTTGTGACGAACTGAATAAATGCGCAAGAATGAAAATTTTACATATATTTATATAACATATGAAGAGTAGAAAAATTTTGTTTATTAACGAATACTCATATAAATATACTTAGATTTTAAACGCGTTTTTCTCGAAATTTTGTTGTTCAACTTTTTGCAATGATTTCTCCGAAACTGAGCTTCGTATCGATTTGAAATTTTAAAGCAATAATATTTGTTCATCTGGTTCTCTCAGATGAACCATGGACAATTACGTCAAAATATTTCATTTCGAGATACTGATTTTTTTATTGTAAAAGAACTGAAAAATTTGAATTTTTTCCTAATAATAGCTGCCATTTTGTTAATTTTGTTCGATTTTTTTTTGTAGTTCACCGGATAATGATAAACCTCCTCAAGATTTCTAGCCAAAATTCGCTCTGATCGGACCGTCAAGAGCCGAGATATTACTGCAAAAACGACAACTTGAAAAAAAAAAGGAGAGTATATTTCAGCCATATATGTCGTATATTTATATGAGTATTTGTTAATAAACAAAATTTTTCTACTCTTCATATTTTGTATAAATATACCTAAAATTTTCATTCTTGCACATTTATTCAGTTCGTCACAAAATCATTACACAAAAACAAGCACGATTTTTCAGCAATCTGACTCTCCAATCCCCTTAATGCCTACTGATAGAACCTACTAATAGAATACTATAGTTACCAGAAACGCATTTAAGAATCCATAACTTAGTGAAAAGAGGAAATATTTTCGTTTTCTTTGCACCACTGTAAAGGTGAATTCTTCTTCTAAAAAATGGCATATAGATTGTACATAGATTCGGTTTAGTCTGTTTTTAGTTCAGTTTTAATGATAATATGTTTTGTCAAATTCCAAGTAGGATAGCATTGTTACTAGAATCTAGAACTCTCTGCACTATAAATGAATAGATTGGTATCTGTTATAATTTTATACATTTGGAAGCTTTCTCAGATGCAAAATGTGAAATTAAAAGAATACAGAAATTCAAAATGCCGAATCAAAGATGGTGGACACGAAAATCAAGAAATCAATCTATTTTCGTAAAACCTGGTGACCTACAATTTTTTATGCGGCGAAAAATGATTTGACTATCTAAATGGTGATCTATAAGATATTCTTCTGAAATAGTAAGCTTGACGCTCTGAATGATAAACTTCACTCACAAATATAGTAAAGTTTCAGCTGAAAAATGTCAAGCTGACTATCAGAGTTATGAGTTATCGTATAGATTACCCTTCATTTTCCTCTGTATAGGTTGCTCATTTCGTGTATGCTTTTAGGATCCAAGTCATACTTACCATTGAACAAAAAACGAACGATAAAAAGAACCAATATAAAATTCTGATATTTTTTTTGGTTATCACTACTTATAGTCTCAGTTGAAAAAAACTCGAATTTTATTCTTAAAACACTTATAAAAAAAAGTCGGGCGTTAAAGGGTTAAAGAAGATGTACTGATGCATTGATACGATTCAGGTTGTCATTTCAACGAGTGCTCCACAGTCCCTCTCCATCTTTTCCTTTCTTTCTCGTGCAAAACGTCAAATCCAGAAAAATAATTAACACGGGCGTGGAGGGGAAGCAGATTAGCGCATTTCTCGCGAAATAATAACAATACCGCCCAGTCGCCTTGATACTAACGAGAATGCCGCCGAGAAATCTCGAACTCGGAAGACGCGAGACTCTCGCAGTTGCTTTTTTTTTAACCCCTTTCCGAGAAAGATCTGCCGGTGAGTCACGAACTTTACGAGAAAGAGGAAAACGAGGGAAAGAAGAGGGGGGGGGGGGCTTTTAAAAAGGAGACAGAAAGGGAATCGGAAGCGCGCACCGGGTACGACCGACGACTGGACGAAGGTGGCGGCGGTGCGGCGGCGGGGGAGGAGCAGAGGAAGGGCGGCAGAAGGGATGGGAGCGGGGCAAAGGGAGAGTTTAGAGTCATCATTGGCCATTGGCCATCCGTTTCGCTCCACTTGGGCCGAAGGATCCCGCTCGACCGAGAAATTTAACAAGGCACACGCTCCCGGCTGACAATAGCCAACTTTCTGAACCCCCGCGTGCCCGGCCAGGTTTTAATTACTTCAATTTGAACCCCGCGCTCGCCCGGCGATTCACTGCGACGGCGACTCGACCGATAGCCGCCGAACCTCGCGATTCTCACCCGTCGAGCCGGCCGGCGACCGAGCGTTTTCGCCGCGGAAATGGGACATCCATGGGCACGGATCATGCGTCCGCGAGAAAACGAATCGAGACGAGTGCCGGCGCGCGTCGAGTGGCGAGAACTTGCCGGGGTCTCGACTCGACTCGACTCGCGCCGCCTACGAGATACGAGTCGCGAGTTTCATCCGCCGCGATTTGGCTTATCGCCCTTGGAGCTATCAGCGGTCGCCTCAGTCACGGCTGTCGAGTATAAGCAATCACCGGGACCGAGACCGAACTCGACTCGCATGTGCGACTCGCATTTGCGATCGGCTGTATCGACGCACGCCTCGTTCCCGCGCGTAATCTTCCTCCGCCTGCTGGCCCCCGCCACGCGAACTTCAATCACGCGACTAATTCGCGTGTGACGTCACGTTCTCACGATGCACCGCGGCTCGCTATAATGCGGCGGGAGATATGCGCTTTCGGTGGCTTGCGCAACTACCGAGCACACACGCTCTCCTTCATTGCGTAATACGCTATGAATGTAAAGTGAGACGTGGTCACGCTCGCTCGGTGCGATTATCGTTATCGTTACTGTGGGCGCAGCCCTAAAAGCGAAAAAAAGAATGGGAGAGACGGAGAGCGAAAAGAACATACCGCCGATACTCGATTTCAGTCGCTTTATTCAGTCTCGTTCCATCGGCGGGGCGAACAGCGCGCAGCCCGATTCCAGAAGAATCCTAAGCGCGCGAGTAATCGAATCGATCGCTGCTCTCTCCCTTTTTTCACTCTGTCCTCCCTTTCTCTCTCTCTCTCTCTCTATCTCTCTCTATCTCTCTCGCTCCTTCTTCAATCTCCCGTATAAAAATACGGAGCGTCACCGCCATGCCGTTGCGTCTGTGGGTTCTCGGATTTCTGAAACAACGCGCGACTTTCTCGAGGGACTTTCAACTTTCGCGCTGTCGACGTATCCGCGACCGTATCGCTCGACTGAAAGTTTTGTTGAAAATAATGCATCGGGAGCTAATCGCGAAACCTTATCGTCTTCGACCAGCTCAAGGCGCGCGAGAATCGTTTGTTACAGCAATAAGAGCGAGGCAACAACAAGCGGCGTCGCACGCCGCCACAAATAGTAATCTTCAACGGACCGATTTCAGCCGATTCGCGCGCTGCTCAGCTCTTTCGACATTTTATCGAGACTTATTCTAGACGAAGCGAGGTGTGGCGATACCCCCTACGTACGTGCGTCATAGATACGGAGCTGCGGGGCGATCCGCTTCGTTACCTGCGAGCGATATACGACAGAGAGCGAAACACACGGTCGCACGCACACCCGCTCACAAATCAGACGAGGAGCGCTTCCTGCCGGTTATCCGAGCTCGTTCCACCTATTGTTATGAAGTTTCACGATAGTGTGCGTATGCGTGAGCGCGTGACGCCCATGCAAACGCGCAAATGTAATGATAATGAATGAGCGAACGAACGAATGAATGATTATCCGTACAAACTATCAGATCGAAGCTACAATGTCCTTTCTAGTTGGCGTAACACGTTGCCTCTCTCTCTCTCTCTCTCTCTCTCTCTCTCTCTCTCTCTCTCTCTCTCTCTCTCTCTCTCTCTCTCTCTCTCTCTCTCTCTCTCTCTCCCCCTCTCTCTCTCTCTCTCTCTCTCTCTCTCTCTCTCTTGGCGTCCCTTATAACTTCTCTTAATATTTTATAAATCCAGTTTTCACGTTCCCCCCCCCCGTCCTCTTTTCCTCTGTTCCGTTGAGAGATTCTGCGACCAAACGTTGCAGCCTGACTGAATTTTCTGCACGCGAATAGACGTACCGAGGGATTGCGATTTTTCCTTGCGCGCTGCCTGATTAGATCACTAAGACGTGTGGCGGGTGTTGCCGTATAATGCACGGTAATTGGACTTTCGACTCTTCACAAACTCTGTTCCTCTCTGGCGATTCAGCGAACGAGCACGCCTCGAGTGCATCATCGCCGGATCACTCGAAAGTTTCGCGAAAAGCGCGAGATTTTCGTCCGCCGTCGTCTCTGTCGACCTCGTCGTGAATCGTGAATCCTCGCAGAGAGCCACTCGATCAATTTTTCTGTTGACGTAAACGCTGTTTACGTCAACCGTTGAATCGCATCGATCGACCACGACGCTCGGCCAAATTGTTTCATGGGGGAGATGAAAAAGCAACAGAGACGCACTCCATTTCGTAATGAAACGAGACAGCGAGCGAGCCTCGATTTATCATCGAATTCAGAGAACTTGGCGCGACGATTCCGTGCGGAGGAGGATTACGAGCGCTCGTCGTAATGGACTTCGTCCAACATCCGGTCGCATCCGGAAGGCCGCACCCGTCACGGTTGCTCCCGACGTCGTTACATCAGCCGGCCAGCCGCACGATTCTTCTGTTTCGCTCGTGCGTCACGTATTATTGTTAAAAGTATGCCGTGCCGTTGGCGGCTAACACGCGACTCATCGAGCCAGTCTATCGATGTCCTTTGACCTGTTGACATCCCGATAAGCCACGCGCGCACGACAGGGAGAGGGAGAGAGAGAGAGAGAGCACACAGGAACGTATCGCGTGCAAACAAGTCAGTGAGCTCGCGAACCGAACAAGATTAACAAGTGTTCGCTTTGTTCCTTGTTCGGGATTCCTACTTGGACGATTCGCGAGTTCGCTTCTCGAGTGCGCTCTTATGAGCCGCTTTCCCCTGAGTTCTGTGCGCGTCGTCATCACGTATCGCCGCGATTCTCATATCCGACAATTAACGCGGGAAGCACGACGATATCGCTCGTGCACGCGGAAGTTTCAAGCCGGCGCGAGATCGTCGGCCGAGGTTCGCGCAGCGTGATCGACAATACGAATTCGGTATCCTCTTTCATTGCGACGACAAAGAGTCGCAGCCGACCGAAGCAATGGCGGCGCTGCGCAGCAACGAAACGCACGAAAGGGCAGTGAATCGTGTTCCAGCGATGTGCGTGTGTGCGAAAGTGGACATTAAAATCGCAGCACCGCGCGCGCGCGCGAGTGCAGGTTTCTCCGGCTGTTAAGCGCGACGAGAGATGCACAGAGGAAACTTTACGCCGGAGCAATTCGAGCGACGACTCGGACACGTGACCGAGGAGCCTCATCCGTCGGACGTAAGCAAAGCAATTAGGCAGAAATGTGAAGGAAAAGGCGCGAGGAAAAAGGAGTCGGTAGAGTAAAAAAAAAGATGGTTGTTCGACGATCTTCCAACCGGTTTAACCAGACCCTCGATTGTGCTCAGCTCTTCTGTTAATTCGTAGTCTTTACGGTTAATAGTCTAATAAATGTCCAATATCTCATAAGTATATGTGTGTGTGTGTGTGTGTGTGTCTCCTAATTATAATGCTCATTGAAACATTCGAATCATGCGGGTGAGTCCATCTCTGTCTCTACTTTGTCTTTCGTTTTTTTTACTTTTATTATTACAACGCTTGTGTGCGAACGTTAGTGCGTTCTTTCCGTCAGCAATTTCGACACCTCGAACAACTCGCAGGTCTTGCGGTGAACTTTCTCTTACACAAAGTTTTATCAGCTGCCTCCTTGCCGCCTCGTGAATTCCCTTCATTCTCTACGTTTAACGTCCCGAAGTAATGAATAAATCCCGAATTCTATTGCAGAGCGGACCCGCGTTAAATCGCGTCGCAACTCGAAATTTCAGCGACTAAAATTTCAGCTCGCCGGCCCAATCGTTGTGTTAGCGCGACGATTAATGTTACTATTGAATTAACCTTAGGTTAAGCCGTTGTGTAAATGGAATTGCGAGACGACCGAGCGAATTACCTGGTCGCCTCTAGGGCGGATATTGCGCTGCTCCGAATTATCGATTGTGAATTCAAAAAGCGAGCGCAATCAGAGGGGAGTTTGAAGCACGGAGGCTTCCATGTACCGTCGAATACTTCGAAACTTATTACGAACGAAGTCCCAATTAAACTTCCCCCGTGATTACTTTTCTATAGTGACGAAGCGAGCCCGCGAAGTCTGCTAAATATGCACGGCTCTTGATGTAGCAGCGGGGAATTAAAGTTGCACGCGTTGACGAATATCTGAAATGTTATCAGGCTGGCGAGTTAATAGAACACATATCATTCTAATTTTTCGCCGAAAATGTGTGAATGTCCCCGTAGCTGAACGCGCCCCGTTATCGAATCTGATCAACCAACATCCCCGCCGCGCCGCGCCGCGGGGATGTAATTATGAAACAATTGACGAGGGACTCGTCATGTCACAGTTAGAATTAAAGTAGCATCTCTCCGTTAGCGAAGAACAATATATATCGTCAATAACCTAAACTATACAATACATAATACATGCAGCAAAAAATAATGATGTATGATTATATGTGAATATATGGATCTGAAGGGCCGTCAAATTGGAGTGGAGATTAATCTGCCAATTCTCTGGTTGCCCGGCCGAGACGGGGGATAACTTTAAAACTGTAAATGTAAACTCATAAAATCCTATTTTCGAATTCCATGAAAGAAAACTATTTATTTTTACCCGAAAACATACTTCGCGTCAGGCGTTTCCACTAAAAAAATATAGCGATGCGAAGTTTCGATTTATAAGTGCGTGAAGCGCTCGCAAATAACACTCCGCGTTCTGACTCATTGGATTTATTAAATCTTGCGGTCAAAATATACGAAACACCCAGCATATACGTAATACGTAATACGTAATAAGCTGACCTAACTTTATTTCAATATTTTTTCCCGGGATAATTTCTCTCGCTTGTCACGCGGCCGAACAAAGTACAGTTCGTAAATAAACTTAACTTGGTGGATCCGGATTATATCGTAATATCGAGTCACGCGACCGTCGCCGTGGACCGCAAGCGTTTCTGTTATCCACTCGTAGAAAAGCCGGATAACGTGGCACACGGAGTCCAAGCTACTGTCCCGTTCGATCCTTCCAAGGCTCCGCGAGGTAGTTCCGCCTGTTCGTATTGGAATACGGGTGTTACGGGGATTCCATAGGGAACTCCCACGTCTGCAGGACGATGGCATGGACCGGCGTCATAGCAGAGAAGGCCGCAAAGTGTATTTACATACCGAGCCTTGGTCAAAGCCTTTACTTTGCGCGACCGTTCGCCATGCATCCGAGACGTTCGCGCAGCCCCTCGAGCTCTTATTCGACCGAATTTAGAATGAGCTCGCCCGTCGCTCCCGCTGCATCGCATCTTCCGAAGTGACGCCCGATACGGCGATAATGTTTGATTATCAAGTTAAATTGACTGACGCGACGTGTTTCTGATTCCTATATCAGAAGCCCAGGAATATCCCGCGCGAGTGGATGGAATTTCGAGGACTCTCGGTTTCAAGAGATTCTCGTCGCATGTGTGACGATCCTTTTTACGTCTGTCTGTAGAATTTTACGCGGGATATGTTACTCCTCTGGGTTATATCTTAATTCTTTGGCGAGAAGACATCTTTTTTCCCAAGCTGTGTAAGAAAGTAACCTCGAGCTTGCACTTGCGATGTACTTCACTTGAGACGACAAGCGTTGAATGTGATTCCGAAAATTTACATATGTATTTATGCATTTCCTCGTGCTCAAGAATCCGTATCCGTAGCTTATAGATTGCTTAAATCCACATTACTTCGCTACACAAAACTAACGCGTACAGTAAAATGGAACTTTGCCTCGCAGAAATTGGCTCGCTTCTCGGCGAGATTCTAGTGTGTCGGAAAATTCCATTTTGCGCTCTCTCTCTCTCTCTCTCTCTCTCTCTCTCACTCTCTCTCGCTCGCTCGCTCGCTCGCTCGCTCTCGCTATCGCTATCTATCGGCCGCCGACGTGATTTCTTTTTTCGAATTTCACATGCATCCTCGGCGATCGATAGGTGCTGTTAACGAGTGGCAACGAAATTGTCGTAATAACGTTTGCATTTAGACGGGCGAGAAGCCCGGGTCACCGTCGACGACGGAAACGGCCCCTGGGCTCACATTTTTCACCATTTTCAAAAGCTATAAGCCCGTGGGGTCGAATCACGGCGAGCAACCCGCGGCGAGCGCCGCTCGAACCGGCTCTCTGACAGGCGAAGGGGGGTAATTGCGCGTCGGTGCTGACTTATAGCTTCTAAATCAGTGTCGGCCGGATTCACCTCTTGTGGCAACGCCTTGTATCAAACAACCTTTGCGAAACTTTCGGGATAAAGCGATGGCGGTCGGTTTCATCGCCGTTCGATTACGGACGCGTCCGTCGGACGTGATGACCGACGTGGATGTCGATCGATTTATCGGCCGAAAGTAATAGGACGGCCCGGTGCGATCATCAGATCGCGCCACAAGAATACGTCAAGTGTTAGAAATTTAAAAATAAACGCAAATAGCGACGTGTAACCTTCCGGTAAATCGGACGGGATTGAAGCAACACTCCTAGCTCCTAGAGATCTCGTCTCGAGAGAAAACTTCTCGGGGATATTTTGCGCGATAAGAGAAACAAAATTCGAGTGGTGTATCGATAGCCAGCAGATCTCCATCGCAAATTGCGATTTCGCTTTGAAAAACTTCACGACACTCATCGTGTGCGAGAAAGTATCAGCAGCCGACTCGTTGGCGAACAATTAGCCAAGTTTTGATCGCGCTCGCTCTCGCATTTCTACCGCGAGAGCATCGCGAACATCTCACAGGCGGGCGAGAGAGAGAGAGAGAGAGAGAGAGAGAGAGAGAGAGAACACAGCCTCTCTCGCTTTCGGCGCTCGAGTGGTTGAACTTTATTAAGCGATATTTCTCTAATTATCTCCGCCGAGCCGTGCCGTGCAAAGCACGGCGAGTCTCCGCCACGTAGCCACGGCTATGTTTACGGCGCATGTTGGGCGTCTTGAAACTATAAACATTAAAAAGGGTCCGAGGCGCCGAAGTTAGCGCCCTCCTGTACCCTCCCCTTCCCTTCTCGCCCCCTGCTTTTCCTCCGCCGACTTTTCTCCATCACCCCTCGCGTCTCCGTTTTGTCCTTTTTCCTTTTCTCATCTCCCCTCTCTCGCGAAACTGAAGAACTTCCGAGCCGCGCCATTTCGAGGAAAAACTTAGAAAATTAAACGCTACGACGGCATCGCCTATATCGCCCAACGTCGGAGGGAAGCGACGGCAAACGGTAACAGTAACGTGCCGAGGTACCGCCGATTCCCGAGTATCGTACTCGTCCTTGATAACCGTGTATACGGCTCGCGCGATACAGCCCTAATAGCAGAGCGCGGTTAACTTTTTAATTGAGAAAAGCGAAATAAGCCGCCTAACAACGGCGCCGTCTAGTTTTACGAGGAGCGCTTTATCCTGCGGATGCGCCTCGCAAGACGGTCCTAGCGGATAATAATATTTACCGCGCGTTTCGGATTACTTCAAAATACTCTCATATCCCTCCTCGACGTATACGTCGAACGTATGAAACTTTCAAATCTCGCGGCAATTACGATCTTGTGGCTTCGCCGCCGGTGTATCGCGATAAGCGCGCAGAGAATATCGGAATTTCGTGGAATCCGTCGACTCGCTAATCAACCGCCGCTGAAATCACCGTCTCGTGCAATTTAAATAAGTTCGCGGATCAGTCCGCCTCGTTCTTACGCGCGACGGTAACGCGACGCGATCGCGGATGGAAATAGGACGGAATAAAATTATCAGCTCCCCCGAACGTCCAGGTAATTATGTGTAATTTATATTACTCACCATTGGTATGCAAATCACACGGACCATGCATGCCCATTATAGACCTCGCACCTACGGCGCGACGGACCGCCACCTGAGCTTCGATTCCGCTGCTTTCAGATTGTCCAAGAGTCCTCCCTCCCCCCTCGTCGTCGTCCTCTCCTCCGCACTCTCTCTGCCGCATTGCGCTCGCGGACGACGAAGGATGATTGGTCCCGCCGTTATCCCTGCAACGAAAATAGAAGAAACGTCGCGCGACTACATCAGCGACTACATTGTAACACGCTCGCGAACTCGCGGAGGTACACAAGAGTGCCGCGAAAAAGGTACACAAGAGTGATAACCGAGGATCGGAATTTACATTACACGTTCGCGCGTTGAAACGCGTTCGAGTTTGCATTCGTTCGAGTTTCCGCGTCGTTTGACGTCCGACCGAGAACGTTAAATAGAATTTTAATTCGCAGCTGCAGCTTCGAGCACGTTCGATACTAAATAGCGGCGTAATTAAAGGCCGCGCTCTCTCTCTCTCTCTCTCTCTCTCTCTCTCGTGGAGAATTCTCGCCGAGGACAAGTGTGCCCTCTTAGACTCGTCGAAGAATCCACCGTTAAGAGGTAAAGGCAAACGAAGGCAAACGAGAGACAGGAGAAGGGAGGGAGGGAGGGAGGTAGGGAGGCGGGCGGGAGGGTAACCCGCGCTGTACAACGACGCAGGATCGACACACGCTGGAACGTGGTGGGACAGAGAGAGAGAGAGAGAGAACGAGAAAGGACGCCCCGACGGTCGGACGCGGCAGCTTAGATACGGCTGAATTGGTCAGTGGCGTCAGTCTTTTGATCTAAACTAAAATACAAGCCCGAAACAACGGCCAAAGCAAATCTGCTCAAAGTGCCTGCCCTCTTCAAAGTACTTGGTTTCGTCTATCTCGCTTCGCCCCGCGCGCGATGCCATACCCCAATGACCAATTATCTTTGTATCTTTGCCGATGACAAGCGAACCGCGAGTAAACTGTCAACGGGGGGGAAAGGGTTTAGTACGTGTCGGTCTATCGGATAAGGGGGTTGGCACACCGACTCTTTCTCCCTCTCACTCTCCCCTCCCTTCTTCTCACCCTCGATCCTCGTCCTTCTCTACTCTCGTGCGCCCCTTCGAGCGCGTTACGGCTCGCGCGCGTCCACTTTTTCCCCCTCTTTTCGCATTCCTAATTTCATTTTCATCGGGGGCGTCGCTTCCGCGCGTTTTGCCGCGCGGATCAGCCGAAACAATGGTTTGCGCGCCACGCGGCGAATTAAATCGAAAGCGAATTAAATCTCTCTCCCCCTCCCCGCTCTCGTCCCGCGCCTCGCCGCGCCGCGACACCTCGCCTCCTCCGTGAGAGGTCCTCCGGGCACGTCGAATTTTCGGACGGGACTTTAATTGGAATCAGCGTGTCCATCTAATTATATAAGCTTCTTTTTCTTTCACCGGCGCTATCGCGAAACGCGCGTTGCTTCCATCAAAGCGCCGCCGGGGGTGTACTCTTATCGCCGCGTAGCGCATAAGAAGTGAAACGGGCGAAATAATAATAATAATAATAATAATCCGTAATCGCAGCGCGGACATCAAATGACCTTGTGTGTCGGGCGCTATCAAGCGTCATCGCTCAGACATTGATCGCGAAGATCTGCCGATTAATTAACCGAGAAACCGGCGCCTTTACCGATCGTTTCGTCAAACGTCGCTCTGCGAAGCAACGCGGAAGAACGCGCTATTATTCGTTGTTACCGCGCCATTTTAAATATATTCAGCACCACGAGAAAGAGAGAGAGAGAGAGAGAGACGATTGTCGTCGTCCGCGAAACAATAGCAGCCTAATGCTACGCGGGAGAGAAACCTCTCGTATTCCCGCGATATGGCTTTAATTCCTGACGTCTTATTCGACCGTCTGGCGAATTCGGTGGTCGTTTGATGTTCAGGACGCTTTAATATACACGACTCGCCGAGGGACCCGCGTTCTTCCGAGAGGAAAGGCCTTCTCGTTCTGATAATGATTAACAAGACGGAAATTAACGGAAGACAGATCGGAGCCGTTTAGCGCCGTTCTCGTTATCCTTTACCCGGCGATGCACAGTACTGTGCTAATACTTCTGTAATTGCTCGCATCCCTCTGCTCGACCTTAGGTTGCACTTTGTAATTTACTCCGGTAACTTTGCTTCTTTTTGCAAATTCTGTCACTGAGACGGCAGATTACTCCGCCGGGTGTATATTCCTCTCGACGATTTCACTTTAATTACGCGAAACTTGGCGGGCTTTACGTGTCAGAAATTGTGCCGGAAATGTTTGGCCTGTTCTTGACGAAGATCGTCGAAGATGTGTCGCCTCGATCATTCCTCGATGATTTCGGCAGGGTCGTGCGACTGGACGCGTTATCGTTGAGATAAATCCTTCGCTTCCTCACAGCCGATTTTCTCATTGAGTTTAACGGAGCGGTCGGATCGTTTTTGGCTGACGAGAAAGTTGTGTGATTTGTATACCGTGGCGAATTGATTTTTGAGAAGGGATCGCTTCACCTCGGCAGATGCGGAGACGATAAAAAGATCAGAATCCTTGTGGAAGAAGAACATTTGATCGCTGGACACGCGTTAGTCTCCGCGTTCTTTTTGCGATACGCAGGAGCGTATCTGAATGAGTCAATAAACGCGAGAACGGGCCGTAAATGTTGAGCGTTAGTATTACAAAACATCGACACGACGCATACTTGTGTCCCCTTGATGCCGCTTTTCATTTAACGTCTCTCCCCGAGACCTAATCCCGCGGTAATAATCCACGTATCCTACTGGCCGCGTGCAGAGGCACACAAATCTCTGCGTGGTAAAGCGGGTCAATGACGTGATTCACATTTGCCAGCGACGCAATAGAATTCGGTCCCGACTATTTAAATATTTCTCACCGTAGGCCTCGACGACAACGAAACGTCCACCGCTAATCGAGAGACGTACCGTCGCGAAGCAGTGTCTTAATAGCATCTCAATTCTCAGTGACCCTCGATATTATTTTGTCCCAAAAAGACGATTTCACCATTTTACCGATTTACACGCTTCCTTTCTTTCGGGAGATAGAATTCATTCTGAAAGATTCTTTCAACTCCTTTCACACTTGATTTCTAAACTCTCTCTCTCTCTCTCTCTCTCTCTCTCTCTCTCTCTCTCTCTCTCTCTCTCTCTCTCTCTCTCTCTCTCTCTCTCTCTCTCTCTCTCTCTCTATTCAAGTGACGGGAAAGAATTCGCGCGGCAGAACGCAATCTGCAGCGATCGGGTCGAGTACTGATAATTAGCATCCGGCTGAGACGCGCAGCCGCGTCGCCGCGCCGTGGATTTTTGACGAGGAAGTTTCGTCGTGCCAAGGATCGGACCGGGCGCCGTTTCCGTTCGGCAGGACTCTCCACGTTAATTCCGCAGGACGTTACATTAATTCCAAATTGGTTTCGGCCGAGCGGAGATCCTCGGCGTCGCGCCAGGCACGAAGGATCACCGATCCACGGAATACCCGGCTTAGTTCCGTCGTAATTACAGGCCAGAACGGGGCTTAGCCCATCCTTATTTATACGCAAGCTAGGACGCGACGCGACGCGCACGCTGATACTTCATCCCGCTGCTCGCTGTGTCCGCGCGCACGCGCGCGCGCGCTTTGTACGCGTTTCTTATTAACTGTACGTTGATAGGCAGATATTGTCCTTCCCGATCAGCCTTGATGAGTGATCGAAGCGCGCTTCACTATGGACGACGTTCCGCGCGCGGTGCGGGACGTTCTAGCTCGGGAAACTGAGTTTGCCGATTCTGCCTTGCGCATCTCTCTCTCTCTCTCTCTCTCTCGCTTTCTGGTCTTTCTCTCGCCATCTGCCGCTCTCTTTCGCGCCTAATACTGCCGCGGTACTGATTTTTATTTGTTTCACGGAGGGAAGTCATGAGTTACATTCGAGTGCCTCAACTTGCACGAAATTCGGAGAGTCGTGTTTAACGCTGAATATGAGATGGCAAAAACTAGTGGTATCAATTTCACGTATCGGGACACCGGATAGCAGGTTACAGAAATATCCGGTTTATCCCGTTAAAGTAAAAATAGAAAAAAGAAAAAAAAATTAAAAATGTTAAATTGTGATTCTAACGATTAGCGACTTTGATTATTATAAGCACAAAGCGATAATTATCGTATTTAACTGCGTGGCGATTTTTTCGGTATTCTGTAGCGTCGACATTCAAGCCAATTTAACCAATTACGGCAGTTTTGGGGCTCGCTTTGAGGCTATATCCGCTCTGTGAAAAAGTTGCGCGATCGATCAGCCAAGTTTCGACAGATCCCACTTGCCGTACGACGTTGTCAAAAAAAAAATTTCAGGAGGGCATCGATCCCCTTCGAATCGGCAACAGACGGGGAAACGGGAGTACACGTTCATTATAACAGCGAAAGAAGCCGCGAAATTCCGGGCGTGACTAAGAGAGACGCTCATAGACCGAGTAAGAATCTCGAGGGTTGGTGAGAGGGAGTCTTAAGCATCACGTCGCTATATTTAGGACGCATCCTTATCTCTGACGACCCCTTCTAACCGCAGTTTTGAATCGCGGCGCGCGCGCCGGCGCTAAGCGTCGGTCCATGACGGTGGCGATTCCGCGCGGGATGGGCAGACGAGGGGTTGCACCCTCGTGAGCGAGACAGGGACGCACGACGGATGGGAGGAATGTCGAGAGAAAGAGGGAGAGAGAGAGAGAGAGAGAGAGAGAGAGGGAAGGGGGAGGAGAGAGAGAGAAAGGAGAGACCCGACGAACGATGGGATAACCCCATGAGTGGTCAAAGGCGTCGGAGCGAGACGGCCGACGGGCGCAACGACGAGGGGGATGAAACCGCTCACGAGGGAAAAGGTGTCGCGACGAAGCTCCGCAAGGACGGAAGAGAGAGCGAGACGGAGTACCGGGTGGAAGGGATAGACAAGGTAGGCGAGAAGGACGAGGCAGAGGGACACCGCTGTCTACACTGCAGAAGGAAGAAGGAGATGAATCAGAGAAGGAAAGAGAGAGAGCGAGAGAGAGAGAGAAGGGGAGGGAGAGAGAGTCTAGGAGAGAAAAGAGAAAGAGTGACGGAGCGACGGGGAACGACACTGTGAGCGAAAAAAGGAGAGAACATCGGAGGGTGGCGGGAAAATAGAGAAGGATTGTCACGCTCGGAATTCTGGTGGGGGATGAAAGTGGTGGGGCAACGTGGAGGGGTTCAGGATGGGAGAGAAAGGAGACCGAGAGAGAGAGAGAGAGAGAGAGAGAGGGAGAGAGGGGGGGGGAGAGAGAGAAAGAGAGAATAGAACGAAGACGGAGAGAGGGTAGCAAGGAAGGGTCGGAGCGCGTACAGCCATAAGAGGGTTGATGGCGGCCGGGGTTGGCCCCAGTAGCACAGTCGCGCGCCAAACTCCCGTAAGAAAGCACGTAGCCGGTTCGGACGCGCTCTCACGCAACCTGCACCCACGGCGGCGGATTTTTTCAACC